TAGATTTAAATAATCTTTATTTTAGAGTCGCAAATATTGTTACATCTCTTCACAATAGATATGAAGCCAAGTATGGAAATAAATAAATAAATAAATTTATGTATGCTTGACAAATCACAAATGGGACTCTTCTCCATTATTTTCTTGGCCCCAAACAGATTTTAATTCAAGGTAAGGCAAAATGCTGATCCTGATTGGCATATCTTTGATTAGAGATATTTATTGATTGAGTAGGATTAAACTTTATTGATATGTTTAGCTTTAAATTTCGATAGACAATTAATCCATTAAAATTCATTTAAATTTGTTACTATTTAAAATGTTAAAAATTTATTTTATATTCATATTTTACAATTAAAAATTAAATAAAAATATTTTTATTAATAAAATACTCTTCCGAGCCATGACGAACTTAAAAAGTCCTTTAAAATCTCGACTCTAATCAGATTAGGTTCGCGGGTTTGACATGTTGCCCCACCCAGACATGGGTCTAATCTTGATTCGTACAATATTTTTCCTGTGCTGCTATTTTTTTTTTCCACTAAAATTTGTCCCTTTCCTAGGTTTCCTCTCGCTATAACTGTACGTTTAACCATTGAATATGTAGTAATTTCTAGTACATTTGATGATCTAACATTTTTTCCGTATGAAAATTGAATTTTAAATTGTTTTGATTCATTCATCCTAATTGTAGATATTACTGAACTTCGTTAATTACTTATAAAATTAGTTGCATATGTTTGTAATTCTAAAATGTAGAATAAGTTTATATATGGATGTGTGAAACTGAAACAACTATTATTCTTTTTATTGGTACGTTATAGGTCCCTGCCTATGTATAGCCATTTATGTCATCTTAATTTTAATTGTTGCATTACCAAAATTAAATTAAGTAGGAAAATTTTACCAAAATCTGACAATAAAAAGAAATGTCGATTGGCAAAGACATAGATGTGTTAGATTGGTTAGCTTTAAGTAGATAAAAAAATTGGATTCAAAATTTATATATAGAGTTATGTGGAAATTGAGTAATATATTCAAAAGTTTTGCATGCCATGTCATAGAAAGATCGATGGTGATTTCTTTTAATAAAAAGTATTAATGAAATATTTACGGACATATCTTACAACGCTTAGTAAATGCAACAAAATAGAAGCTAGGTGAAAGAATAGTGGCATCTCAATATTGAGGATTTTTAATGAAAAAAAAAAACACCTGTAATAGTTTTCTATGAAATTACAAATACGAAAAAAATTATAATTATAATTAATTATTAAATTTATATAAAAAAATTATTAAACCAACCAATATATTAAAATATAATTAAACGAAATTAATATAAAATTGAACCAAATTTATATGGGATTTGAACTTAAAACTTTAGAGTTTTAGAATCTGTTTCTTCCCACTAAACCAATGTTTTATCGGTTCAAGTATCTTAGAAAGTAAAGAATAGACGAATAAAATATAAAAGGAGAAAAAAATCTTTTTTGATAATGTTATTATATAAATAAAAACAAAAAAAAAAGGGATAAAAACAAAGAAGATGTATTTTTATATTTTTATCTCACTTATAATAATAATAATAATAATAATAATAATAATAATAATGCGAACAAAAAATTTAGTAAAACTAACATTGTGTTACCATTTCTCAGTTTGATTCAACTTTATGTTAGATTTATCCAACAATATATATGTTGGTTCATTGGTTACAATTTGTTTGTTTGACTTAATTCATTAATTTTTTATATGAGATGTAATACTTAATTATAATTGTAAATTTTTTATATTAGTAATTAACTTTAGAAAAAAAAACATGTGATTGCATGAATAATATATGTTGCATAATGTATAAAATATCTATTTGATATATCATCTTATATTTGTATATATACATTTGATATTTGAATTTCCTTTTTTTGTCATACTAGCTATGACATAAAAACTATAAAAATTGCTTTCCCTTAATTTCTTTTTGACATTTCCTTTTGCTTTTAGCAGTCTATCTCATAAAAATTGCTATAGCATCCTATTTAAGCACAATAAAATTAAATACTGTGGAGGTAGAATAGCATCTTTCCTTCTATGAAAGAGGAGATTATGTAGTTTCATTTTCCATATGCAAAAAATGAGGTAAGAAGAGAGCTAGGCAAATCCTAAGGGTTTTGCAAGTGAAAAGAAATAAAGAGGGGATTGATTAATTCCACTGTTAGGGGTCTAATCAAAATCACCTAGTTGATTAATATAGTTGCATTTTTTAATTAAAGATAAAACTTTTGAATTCAAAATTTCAAATCAATGTGAAGTTAATGAGAAAAAATTACATTAATATTGAAATTAAAGATTGAACACGCACCTGTCACAATCCTCAAGCATGCAGCCAGGGAGACATTTCACGTGCATCTCAATTTCGAGCTTTGGAAGAAAAGACTGTGATGATAAACCCTGGTGGTTGTGGCCTTTAATCCACGTAATTAGCTACGCTAATTAAAATAAAATATAATTAATTAAGTTAAAATCTTGCCGTAATTAAGTTTCTCATGTCAAATTTCGATGGAGTTGATATATATCGATCACAACTATATTACTAATTTTTCTCTATGCAATATATAGGTACGTGTAAAGTATATGTACTCTAAATAAAAAAAAATCAAAAAAAAAAAATCTCATCTTAGATCGGTAACTTGAATTTTATATATGTAATATATACAAATATAAAATTTACAGTTATATAAACGAAAATTCTCATTGTAAATTTGTGAGATCTACGAGCTTAATTATGTCATATACAGCTCGCTGGTAGGCATGAAATTTAGTCTTAATAATTAATGTTGGATGCCAATTCAGTCTCTTGATTGAGATGGGCAATTCTGTTACCATGAAGCTACTTTGCTAATGAAATTGATCGTAGAAATTCAAAATTTATTACTATTTCATAGTACCAACTCGGCAATTAAATCTTAAACTGCCCACCAAATTTGAGCATAAAGATATTCTTTTCTTTTTTTTTTGTCATTCCTTTGTTTCTTAGTAGAGGAGGACAAAAATCACTGCATTTACATTTTACGGTGGAGATTTCAATTTCAATGTACTTACCTTTAGTAAGAAATATTTTAAAATCTTTCACAAAAAATACTATTTATTTATTTTAGTTAATACAATGTATTATCATGGTTCTATCGATTTAGAACATTCTCACAATTATGCGTTTTACTTTTATTTCTTGTTTGGTTACATTAATTAAATTATAATTGAACATTGGATTACTACTTTTTAGCAAAAAATTTCATATTCAATTCAATTCCCTTACTCTAAGGATTCTTTTTTTTTTTTTTTTTTACATAAAAGGTCACAGATTGAGAATAAAAGAAGAAATTATAAGTATTGAGATTCAAATTTCAAGTTAACTGGATATCACCTCATAAATATAACTATACGAACCAATTGAGTAAAATTTCAAGTTATTCTCTTGCTCATATTTTGTTCTTTAAGAATCTTTTGGACTACAATGCTATATTTGATAAACCCCAGGAGGAGGAAGTAATTATTTGAGAAATTGGGCTTTGTCTTTAATATAATGAAAGCCTGCTTAAGCATGCATGCAAATGGAAGGAAGATGACAAGTTATGCTAGAACTAGAATTCTGGAAATAGATTGCAAGGAGGAAATCAGATATACAATTTGCTTGTAAGCATAAGCATGTTTCTGATAAAAAAAAATCCAAATGTCAATTAGAAAGAATAAAGTAAAGGAAATTAACCACAATGGAAAGAACAAAAACATCACCAACAATTTGGTACAAATTTTGTAGTATTATTTAAAATCATACACATATATTAAATTAACAGAAGTGGGAGGTAGAGGTTGTGGTGGCGCTGGCTATACAGTGATGGTAATGACTTCAATATTCCAAAAAAAAAAAAAAATTTGTTACAGATACAGTCCATTTCCCTGAACACCATGAAATCCTCCATTGAAGCTTTGAAATGTGGCGGCGGCTTAATCTTTCATGGCAACTGTTAAGCATTGTTAGTGGGCATTCATGATTTTTATATTTGATCAACCTGTTACTTGATCACTGTTTATTACAATATACAGAGAATCTTTGATGGTCAACCAGCTAATCTAAAATACTGTATTTTGCCTGGCCCATCAGCTATAAGGAGTCAAAATCAAACTGTTGAAAACTAGGAGGGTGAAATTGAGTTTTCAAAGCTGCATTAATCGCGATTTTGTTATCTGCAACTTATAAAAGTGCTCTTAAAAAAGTTGGTAAAGGATAAAAAAATTAATGATACAGTCCTGGAAAATTCTACTAAAAGTTATCTGAATTGAATCGATATGGACTTAAACTAGACCAAGTAATGAAATGCAAAAGGGCTGCGAATCCCAATACAAGGTATTAATTTAATTCTTAATTCATGGATCAAATCCAAAAGGCAAGAATATATAGATGTATATAAATAATAAGGTGACATTAATAAATAATCCATAAAAACACATAAACAAAAAGTGCAGCACTTATCTAATTATATATTTTTCTATCCATATGACAGTAGGCAATGACCATGACTTTGTGCCACAAAAGCCACTCCAAATACTGCTAACAGGGGTATCTGCAGCATGCAGTTAATAGTTGATGAGCTAAACTAAATGATTTTATTGTTATAATTGGATTTCAATAAGAAAGTTCCATATGTATCACAAGGATTGGTTCAATTAATAAAGAAAAAAAATTATTTTTTTGTTAATCAGTTTGATTTTTATAAAAAAAAATCCGCAAAAATAAATTCTTCAATGTAGCAGATTGATATGGCATGAGAAAAAAAAATTAAAGCTCAGTACCGTGATTAATTATCATTCTTTAACTGTTTGGAGTAAATTTTTTCCTTTTTCAGTTTCAAGTAATAAGCAAAAATTTTCCTTTTCTAAGATTATAGGTTATAATTAATGCGATAGGGTAATATAATTAATGCGATCTTTCTCATGTTATAATCCTATCCTAAGATTATAGGTTGTATCCTGTCGAATTTTTGGTTCACAAATTGGAAAATTTTTATTAATGAACTCACTCTAACTTGGGTTTAATTCAGAGGGGAAAAACCTGGTCAGAATTTTTAAACCGTAGTGCTAATTACGCTAATGTATTCTATAATTATTGCTTGGATGATGGAAGAATAATTATAAATATAAAAGCTAATAGTACAATTAAAGGAAGAAAATAATGTGATAGCAAGAAAAAGAAGAGCTAAAGCACTTTCATAGGACCCATAGCTTGTCCCCTCATTAGCACCGTTGATGTGATCTTCATTTTCCTCTATTCTGCAATTTTTTTTGTCTATTTTCTTCCACCCTTTCTTCCCAAGATTCTTTCTTTCTTCTCTGTCTGGGAAGGAAAAAAAAAAAAAACAACCTTGATGAAACAATGATGTCAATCAACAAAGGAAAAGAAATAGCAGAAGGGTCTTCAAGATCCACAGCTGTTGCTGTTGCTGCTGCTGCTGATCAGCAAAATCCACCTCCGTTAAGCCGGTACGAGTCACAGAAAAGAAGGGATTGGAACACTTTTGGTCAGTACTTGAGGAACCAAAGGCCACCAGTTGGTCTTTCTCAGTGCAACTCCAATCATGTGCTTGATTTCCTTCGTTACCTTGATCAATTCGGCAAGACAAAGGTGCACTTACAAGGTTGCGTGTTCTTCGGGCAACCTGAGCCACCAGGGCCTTGTACATGCCCTCTTAGACAAGCTTGGGGTAGCCTTGATGCTCTCATCGGCCGACTTCGAGCTGCTTATGAAGAGAATGGTGGGTTGCCTGAGACCAACCCTTTTGCAAGTGGTGCTATTCGTATTTCTCTTCGTGAAGTGAGGGATTCCCAAGCGAAAGCTCGGGGAATTCCTTATAAGAAGAAAAAGAAGAAGAGAAATCCATTGAAGTCTAATGAAGATGGCTCAAGCTTCCCTATTCAGCAATCTTGATTTCTCTATGGCTTTCCCTTATACCTTATAAAAGTGGTAATAATCAGTTTTTTTATTTTCCCTTCAGCAAAGTCATAGCTTAGCAGTTAAGATCTGGTACTGATAGCATAATAAAACTCTTTGCCTTCATGGGAATAAAATACAAGAAATAATTGAACTTTACTGTAATCAATAGATTAAATATTGAAATGAAAGAATAAATTTTTTTTAATGACTAAAGCCTGTATACAATATTGACATATTTAGGCCACACATCTTTTCCTTTGATAATAAACCCTAGAGGCAAAGGCGTTCCAAACCCTAATTTGGATAGTAGTTTTCTTTAAGAAAGACAAGACATACTAACAGTACTTAGTAACTTTACCTTAATTTCAATAACAAACATTAATTGCTATGATGATAATCAAAATCTCCTACTTCCTCCCTCCCCTCATTTTCTTAATTTTTTTTTCTCACATGCAAAAATCTCAATAGTTTTAATGGTTTCCAAATTTCATATTAATTCCCATTTTCAAGCTTCCTTTTTTTTTTTTTTCTTTTTCTCTAGTGAATACAAGCTCTTTTAGGATTCTGCACTATCTTGTGCCCTCCATGAATGGCCATAACACTTTAGATATAATATATATATATATATATATAAACATATATATATTTATGTCCTTTTCATAATCTTAAGAAAAATTCATGATTGAAGATCTCATGACAGTAGGATAAACCCAAATGCTTATTCATTGTCTTTGTTTTTTGGGTGCTAATAACATAAGCTATCACTAAGATTTCCTGTACTCCATAATATATTAAATTTGTTGGTCTTTATAGATTTATTATTAATGCCTTTTTATATTTTAATTTAACTTGCCATTATATGAATGTCCTTTTCTTTGGCAACAATAATTCTATATGCAACTGACCTTTGTTTTGCTTGAATTCAGATTTTCTTTTGTCTGCATTAGAAAAGTGGTAATTGTTTCCCCTATTATATTAACCCACAAATGCTTTGCAGCTAATATTAGCGTACGTCAAGCAATATGACCACAAAAAAAAATTAAAAAAGCTCCGCTAAAGCTTCACAATTATGCCATCTTTGAAGTGAAATTGCCTCCAAAACAAATTTCACCACCATATATATATATCCTTTCAAATTAAAACCCAAACTTCAAGCTTATTAATCTCATGATTAATCCCTTTCACTTCATTTGTCTGATTTCAGGCCCTAAAATAAAATCCCAAGAGTTTGATCGGTTTGCTATTGCTACTACATCAGGTCAAAGCTCCATCTTTACTCGAAATTGCAATCATTTCCTTCTTGGATCAAGAAATTGGATAATTTTATATATAGCTAGATCAGCACTGTGTTTATTGTTTTAAATGAGAATCAAAGCGGGAAATGGGGCAAGATATATAGATATATAAACTGGAGTTGAAGAGGGTAAGCTGCTTTTTTTCTTCTTGTTTTATATTTCCTTTTCCATTTCAAGTCAGTTAATCAGCATTTTGTCAAATGCAGTCCAAGTTTGTCCCTTGAACGTTCTCCAGGTACATGTATATTGATGCAAATGACTATTATAATATTGTACTTTCCAAAATTTTGATTATGGTTTTGCTAGAAAAGTAGCATGTTATGTTACTACCATGGGATCTTCTTCAACATTTAGAACTAGGAGGATAGTACCTTAGATTGTTACATGGAAAATGATTGATTGGTTGGCTATCTAGGACATACCATATATTGAATAATCAACTCTACATTTCTAAAAGGAACAAAAAAGTATAAATTTTTGTATGTTCAAATATCCATGAACATAAAATATCTGTGTGTTTGTAACTCCATAATTACAAAAGACGATTTTTTAAAAAATTTTTTAGTATTACAATTATATTTATATTCCTTCAGGCATGTTACATCAATTGTGTTTTAAATATTAGGACTAAACTAATGGAAGTAAAAAAAAAAAAAGATTATTTGAGACCTTTTTCTTAATCTTTTTCATATTTCATAGTTCCCAGTGGTATCCTATCCCCCACTTATATAATATCTTGTCCCACATCTTCATAGATGTTCTTTGATTTACAGTACAGCATTGGATTCCTCTTCAAGGTTAATAAATAATTACATAAGCTAGTAATTACTGTAATTTAATCTTCCCTCTAGCTTCCACTCAATGGTCAAGTTCTCGTTCCACCATTTTTTATATTTGCATTGCAACCCATCTATTTCAATATCCCCTAAGCTTTTGATTATCCGGGATAACTCTTATCATTTGCAATTCTTTGTTTCCACTGAAAAATGGCCCATTCTTCTTGTATTTTAAACAAAAAACCTTATCCCTAGGCTTACTTAATATTATATATATATATATATATATTCGTTTACTTATATCCCTCTTTAGTGGGCTTCAGTTTCACATATAATTACTGCAGTACAATTAATCAATTATAATTCAATGTTGTATAAGATCTACAAAAAACTTATGTAAAGCCCACGCTTTTAAGTAATGGACTCCTACATAATTTTTTGTTGTGATTAGCTAGTTGCAAAATTATAATAAAGAGAATTGTTGGTGAAATACTCTATCTTTAGCAAGGTAAGGTCCAAGGTTGGAATCCTCCCCCTACTTGGAATTTCTCATGTATATGAAAAAACCATGCAGCTTCAACCACCCATCTAAAATTTTCTTATATTGTTACTGTTTTTATCATTTGGCCAAACTTAATCTTGCTCATATTGCCATACAGATTTTAGAGCCATATGTACTATATGCATTTGCTCTTATTTTTCTATCCAAAGGAACAAATTAAATTCTATATCTGCCATTTTCTATCTTTCTGCATTCATGAAGAACATTATCTTTGCCTCTCATTTTTGTTCTTAAATCTAGGATGGTCAACATCAAAGAATTTCCTCTTCTAGTTTGTTGGAATAAAAATTTGACAGGAAGCATATATGAAACCTAGATTGAGCCCTAGATTGATAATAATATATAGTAGAACTTTTACCATTTCTTTAAATTTTATAGTATCATTGAATATTGAATCATGAGGAGTGAGTTGGGAATGTGACACAGTTGATTAAGGGCCATAATAATAATAATGGTAATGTGCATTGTACACTTTAACTAAGAAGTGAAAAAAAAAATACTAAATTAATCAGGCATATAAGTTATATATGTCAAAGACGATGAACATTTGTGTCAAATTAGTGAATCCTCTAGAAAGTATAAGAAAATTGAATTAACCACCCCAAGTCCAAATTAACATTTGAGTTGATATGATGAATATAAGCATAGAGATAGTTTAATGATTAAGATTGGTTGTTTTTTGTCCTACACAACTATATCAGAATAATTCCAAATTTATAAGTACTCACTTTAGAGTGAATTAGAGCAAACACCATGGATCCCATTTTCTTTTCTTTCAATGAAAACAAAATATTGATCATTATAAAATGCTAAGAAAAAAAATGATAACACCAAAAAGAGATAAAAAAAAAAAAGATATAGATCTCTGAAGAGGAGATCAATGAAACTTCAGTCACTCATATAAAACTCCTTCAAAATATACATGTACCAGAATTTGGATGTCAAGGAAACTTGAAAAAGGGGGGGGGGGGGGGAACAATGAGAATATATTGTACAATTATCAAAGTAGGACAAGAAAAAAGGAAGGCAAAGTTTAGGCTGAATTGCAATAACCTTGTACAACTTGGAAGAAATTTCCTTGTAACCAGGAGAGACTGATGGCTTGAGGGGCCATGGAAACCATGGCTACTGCAAAGATGCACAAATTCCGACGTTTGAAATTGGTGAATAGCCACATTAGAGTTGTCCCATTTCCTTAGAAAACTATAGTTTAATTTCTCTTTCATTTCCTTTCTCATATGCATTTTAAGAACAATGACAACTTCAGCTTCTCTTAAACTAATTGAGTTGCTCATATTATTCTGCTTCTTTCATTTTACTTGCATTCTAGTTGGATGCCAGAGAGCCATTGTACTTGTCCTCTTTCTTTCTATCAATCTTATATATGAGCCTAATCATTCTTCTAGACTACTTCTATGATGTTTTTTAAGACATTCTATTTCTTCTCTTGCTAGTTTCATAGCCACTCAAAATGGAATGACCCTATCAGCTTGTACTTGGAAGATGGTATAGCTGCAGTTTAGACTTTGAAAGGGATATATATCTCTTTACAGTCATTAAACTATGCCATTGCATTAAGGTAGTACATTTGTTCAATTCTTATCACCAGCAGAGAGTGGGGGCATTTCAGTTCAGCAATATGAATAAGTAGCTCTTTTCTTTTGAATTTGCTGAAGAAACATGACATGCAACATCCATAGAACATTGACAACACACTCTCAATGTGTGGCTTACACTTTTCTTCATAATTTTCTATCAAACAGGCGATTAGACATGTATCTTAAAGAATGGGGAGGGGGGGATCGTTGAAGGGATTGGGGAATTGCCTTCTGTTAATAATTTTTGAAAACTTAATGCTCCATTACGTTGAAGGAACTTGAAAAAAATACTGCCATAGCACTAAACCAAGGATCAAATCAATGGTACAAGAAGACAAAGAAATATCAGATGGAGCAGATTTTATGCTATTAATCTTCCTGCAGCATCAAAATTATTGCATAAAATGTAACTCTATCTTCTCTTTTCTTTATTAAGAGCTATACCTAAGACAGCAGTACAGTCAACTTCTTCGCTGGGAGACATTTGCTTCCAAGTCAATTCCCTCATCTCATGTTTCTTTAAGGCTCAGTTTGGTAAAAAAGAAAGAGAGAGGAAAGAAACGAAAATATTTTACTCTAATGACTTAGCTACAAAATAACACATGTTATTATGTAGTTCAAATATTAGATTAAAACTTTTTTTTTCTCTGAACTTTTTTTTCCTCCTATCGAACAGAGTCTTAATTGTTTGTATTTTTCTTGTATGCATGTTTTTTACGGGCATGTTGCATTAATTTGCAGCATTTTAGCTTGCAAGCAAATGAAAATATGTGTATAGATAGTCATAGTAGGCAAATAGGAAGAGTTAATTATCTCCTTTCTAAGTTCTAACTGTAGGAGAAAGAGGTTAATGACCTAATCATATATGTATAAGGGTAGTTTTTTCATGCATATTTATGGGTGAACTTTATTCACGTTACTAATGATCTGCTTGGAAGCAAGAAGACTGCATTGATAGACAAGTACGATTACTACAATTCTTGTGTAATTAATTCTTTGAAATACTCTTTAAAGTTTCATTAATGTTTTTAATATCCAAAGATTTTAGTATCAACAAAATATATTATTCAAGATAAGAAATGACTATCTTAGAATTTCAATTTAATTTAGGTAATATCATTTATGAGTGGTCAAACATAAAACTTTGGACCACATAATAGGTTTTTCTAAATTATTATTGTTAAGAAGTTTGTATATCTCTTTATAGTTTAGGATTCTATTTTAAAATATTATAACAAACAAAAAAGATATAACTTGATTAATAAGAATTTGTCTTTTTTCAAAGACTCGTATTCAGAATTTTGAGTATCCATAAGATAATCTTTATTAATAGAATCATTAAAAAATTCGTTAAAGATTTTATCCAACCACTAAAAGTTTCTTTTATCTAAAACATATTTCAATAATATACTTTTAACGCAAAACACGCTAAAAATGACGTGCATATAGAATATATTTGTAGCTAGTCTAAAGATGAAAAGACACATTTCAACTCTACTACATTGTCTTCTTCCCCAAGAAAGTTAAAGACCCAAACACCATTTCATACCAAGAAACCGAAAAACAAGCACATAAGAGCAATTCCATTACCTCTTTTTTTTCCCAAGACCCCACCTTTGTCCAAATCTTATGGCAGGTTTTGTTAAGGGTACTTAAAGTTTTAATGAGAGTTTCTTCAGTTCTGTTGATAGACAAGGGATTAAGATAGCTTGCCTCTTTGAAAATGAAAGAAGCCTATATAGGATGCTATGAGAGATTGCCCAATGTTTGTTTTTATATAATTTTTATGAAATTTACTTTGTTAGTGTGACAAATAAGAATCCATTAATATACATTGACCACTCTTAGATTAACACCTGTGATTTTCTTTACACAAGTATTTAACATATATAAATCCCGGGTTATGGAGGTGGGATTATCGAATTGAAAGGGAATAAACAAATTTTATATGCTTCTTTTCTTAATTATTTGTAAGGGGGGAAGTATGATAGAGTTAAAACAATGAATCAAAATGATCAATCAAATACTGTTTTCTTCGTATCAGGGAAGCAAAATACAAATTGAGTAGTATAAACTGCATAAAGTCGTACTCGTATCTTGCTCAGAAGAGAGTTTGTGATTGAAGTGGTACATTTCATCTATAATTCTTTTTATCATATCATGCAATTACTCAAATCACAACAAAATATCATATAGGGATCTACCACTTAAAAATGCGAGTTTTATATAATATTTTTTTAGTGGACTCCTCTATTAACATTGAGGAATACTTGCCTATTGGTTCAATAAAGCAGGGTTGATACCAAAAGTGATCATTTCAGGATTAAAAGTCTTGAACCAGGCAACAAGGCAAAGCCA